TAGATCCTGGGACCTTTCTGAGCTCAAATCTACCACTCTCAAGTGGCAGAAGTTCATGTACGACAACGGAGGCTGGAATGCCCTTTACTTAGAGAACCATGACCAACCACGGGCCGTCAGCCGCTTTGTTCACGATGACACCAAGCATCGGGTGGATAGTGCGAAGCTTATGGCCATCTTCCTGGGTTTCCAGTCGGGCACCCCTTTTATTTACCAAGGACAGGAGATTGGGATGACCAATGTCCCCAAGGACTGGGGTTTGGAAGAATATAAGGACCTTGACTGCCTTCGACATTGGGAGTAAGTCGGAGAATGCAGCTACTAAACACATTTCACTGATATCCTACATAGTCTTCACAAAAACGATGATGAGGCGGCTCGAAACTCCTACAAGGTTGAGTATCAGAAGAAGTCTCGTGACAATGCCCGAACTCCGATGCAATGGGACGCAAGCCCCAACGCTGGCTTTACTACTGCTGATGCTAAGCCTTGGATGAGAGTCAACGACAACTACAAGGAAATCAACGCTGCATCACAGACTTCAGACCCTAACTCTGTGTATAGCTGCTATCGCAAAGTTCTGCAGAGACGAAAGGAGTTCCTAGATCTATTTGCATATGGAAACTTCCAACTCGTTGACGAAACCAACGAGAAGGTCTTTGCATACTCACGAAGGGCCGACAGCGGAGAGACTGCTCTCGTCGTATGTAACTTCACGACTGATACAGTTGCGTGGTCTTTGCCTGGCAAGATTCGAGCGGTGCTGGTCAGCTCTGCTGGAAGAACACTTGATGAGTTAAACGGTGGTGAGACCAAACTGGCACCTTGCGAAGCCTTCGCGGTCCTGCTCGAGTAGGATGAGCCGCGTATTGAATATGGCAATGTATCCGATCCCCATAGAAGAGGACAATGACAATATCGGCCAATTGGCAGAGTTAAATCAAACCGTGAATTCATTCACCCTGGGAGTATCGAAGCTTGTGACAGAGAGGGTCGATGGCAAGACGAAGACGTGCATTCTCATTACCCAGCGGTTGACATTAGCCGAGTATTTATTCATACAAGATACATAAACCACTCCTCGTCCCGCTCTATTCGTGTAGATTTGTCCATTACACCGCCGCTCTAGTCCTGTCGTCCCTTTAGTAATCGCTTGGTGACCTTGTCCTTCTCGATAATGTAAACGTGTGCACCCCAGCCTGAAAGGGCATCACGGTCAACAGCGTTGAGCAACGACTGAGAGATGGTCTCAAAAAGGGCATCGGGTTCCTATAAGTGACATGATCAGCATTTCGCTCTTGAGCGGAGCAACAGCCACAACCGAACTCGGACGATGTATAGCTGCTTTGTCATAATTTGCATACCAGATCAGGCTCCCAGAGACCCTCGCACATGCCAAAGAGCTGCTCGGAAGCGGTGCCAGAGACAATGAAGTCCTTGGCAAAGTCGATACAGCCAATACTATCGAAGCCACAGATAAAAGGCTTGCCAGTCTTAGGATCAAGACCAGCAACGACAGGAGACACAAAGTAAGGTCCAAAACGGCGCTCGTAGAGAGATGAGGAAACGAGATTGGCAAAGGTTCGAGGGGCGATGGAGCGCTCCTCACGCAGGCGGTACATGTTGACCTTGTAGCGGAAGAGGTCGCTCACGGTATTGACATCGGTAGCCAGGCCAGTGAGACCTAAGAAGACGTCGCCGTACTGGAAGATCTTGGGGAAATTGTTGGACACAGTAAGAGCCTGGAGACCGAGGCGGAGATCGCATGCGATGGCGACACAGTCCTTTCCGACCATGGCAACACAGGCGCCGCCGTCTGGAGGAAGAGGGAGGTTAGCTATGGATGAAGGCTGGTATGATGACAGGCGACCGAGACGAACTTATCGAGAAAGGAGATGACTATTGATTGAGTTGCATGGTTAGCTTTGTGCGAAAAGGAGATTGGCTCGTCGGAGGTTAACCTACCATGATGGCTTCTTGAAGGTAGAAAGGTAGATGCGAGGTCGGGAATCGACGTCAACCAGCGGCCGGCTTATCGAGAGAAACTCAGGGACAAGGAAGGCGGTGATTCGTTGTGTGAAGCCGAAAGCTTTGCAGTCGCTAATTCGTATCGTATCTTCGCGTCGTGGGGTTGTAGAAGAGCAGCCGGCGTGGAGTGGATGGAGTGGGAGTTGGACAGTTGAAGCTCCCGTCACTGGGCTGGAGCTACTAGTTAGAAGGTGCAGTGCAATGAGGTTGCTGTAAGGTCCGTGGTACGTACAGGCGGGCTGCAAGGCAAACACGGTCTGGCGTGGCCGGGTACAGGCAGGTCCACGTCTGTTACAGTAGCCTACAACTTGTGGCGGCTGAGGCTCAGTTACCAAGATTACATAAGCGAACATATACCTTAGTCGAGTTCGAAATCGCATTTAGAGAAGAGAGGAAAGATTAGAACAAAACAGCTATCAGACTCTGATTCACAGAAGTTTTAATGCATTCTAAATGATCATATAGGAATGCTGTAAGAATTTTAGCACTCAAAACTCCTAAGAACTTTACAGGTGAACTACTTAACATAACCTTAAGTTACCTACCTAGGTAGACAATGGAGGTTTAGCACAATGCGCATACCTTGGTTTGGTATCAACTAGCAGATTTTGCCTAAGCGTGAGTAGTTGTTTGTTCAATGCTCTTATTCAGAAAGGGTTTGAGTCTTCTGTTTCTAACTAATCCAGGTACTTGAGGTTGGGAGGTTCATTTAGAAGCTTCTAGCAGCTCAGAGACGGGAGTTATTCCAGGGTGCTCATAACTCGTGGCTGCCCTGGCTGTCTGCTGGAGCTGTCTCTTGGTAGCTGAGGCCCCTCTATTTCCAGTACGTAACCCCGCTGTTGACCACCTCACTCGACTCTCACACGCCTGCCTGCTTACATCACCGCCAACCCAGCTCAACATCCAACCCGCCACGATCATCCTGTCCTTTATTAACGAATTCGTCTTAGTCTAATACAGGTACAGCTTCAAACCTACACCTCATCTCTTAATACTTACACCTTCGGAAGAATGGCGACCAACGTCGTGGTGATAGCCACCGACCTACGGCGAGCTACTATCAAGGTCAACCCTGGAACCTACCTTATTGATGTGTTGGAGGAAGCTTGTAGAAGACTCAACCTTTCAAGTGATAAATATCTTGTCAAGTAGGTACCACATGCTCAAACTAGACTCTCCCGCTGAGCAAATAGCTGACGAAATCAACGTATAGACACCGACAAAAAACAGTAGATTTATCCGTCCCCTTCCGAACTTCTGGCCTGTCACCAGGCGCAAAGCTTGAACTTGTCCAAAAGTCAAAAACGCCCTCTGCTATCCAAGTCGCCCTCCAAGTTCCTCCACCCGAGGGTCGCGAAATACCCGGTGGCCGGTTGATTCAAAAATTCCCCAGCGATCTCACCATATGGAAGCTTCTACGCCAGTTCGAGAGCGGAGAGGCCAGCAATGGAAGGAACATCAATATTACCGGCCGCGGGATCGCGCGAATGAGTAGTGATACAGGGAGTGGTAGCGGACAGCTCTACTATGAAACACCTGTTCTCAACATTATGGGACGAGAGCTTTCAACCTTTGCCGATTTCCAAAAGACACTATCGCAACTAGGATACAACTCAGGGAGTGTCCTGATTAGATTGGACTACCGAAAGACAGACAAGACACTGTACGATGCAATGTCAGAAATTGGCCAGTTCTTCAAAGACACCGATGATGAAGACCTGAAGGCAGAGACGCCAGCTGCAAAGGCAGAGCTTGCACCAGAACAAGGGGCGCAGAAATCAGAGGAGCAAGCGCAAGGGGAGACACAGGACTCACAGATGACGGAAAACCAAGTAGAACAGACACAAGACCCAGCCCCCATTCAACAAGAAACCGAGCCCAAGGCTGCTAATGAGGACAGCATGGGCATCGACTCTTCTCAGCCCGGGGATCCTCTGGCACCTATCAACGTTTTCCTAGCCCCTTCAGGAACAACACCTGCTGCAGCCTTGGCTCCCGCTACCGACACTGACTTTGCCCCTACAATCGCTCATGCGCAGCTTCATCAAGCTCGGCTTCAGGGGGACTCGAGGAACAAGCGTCTGCTATCAGACCGCGAATTGGAAGAGAAGGCTGCTGCAGAGGCCGCAAGGATCAATGCAATCAAGTCTGTTCTCGTCAAAGTTCGATTTCCAGACAACACAAGCAGCGACTGGGAAGTAAGTCACTCTCACAGTGGCCAGTTCCTCTACGATGCTGTTCGGCATATTATGGCCCATAACAACCAACCTTTCCATCTTGTTCTTCCTGGGACCAAGATCGTGATCAAAGACGATCCTAGCCCCAGCAATGGATTGATCAAGGCGTACAAACTGTCTGGGCGTACCTTGATTAACCTGGTCTGGGATGATGCTGTACCATCGGCCGTACGGAAAGAGCCATTCCTCAAGGCCAACATTGCTCAAAAGGGCCAGCAGGTCAAGGTGCCTGAGATAATCGCTTCGAATGATCAAGAAGAGGAAGCACCTGTTGCTCGGCCAGCACAAACAGAGAAGGGCGAGGGCTCAGGAGAGAAGACTGGCAAGAAGATACCCAAGTGGCTCAAGCTGGGCAAGAAATAGACAACAGTGGCAGTTTAAAAACATTGCGGAGTTCGCATCAACGATTATTGGTGGCGTTGGTTTAAGGTGACATTTTCATAGCGCAAAACAGCGAAGTCCATAGTACATGAATACATATTGCATTCAACGGATGTAAGTTCGAAAAATAAAGAGGAGGCGTCACTCATCACGAAAGACAGATTGGAGCATGGCTTGATCATTACGCCATAAATCTCTTCAAAGTGTTGGTATTCCGGTGATCCGCAGCTAAATCCCTGCCACGGAGCATCCAAGCCGTTAATTCTTTTTTAATCGATCAAATCGTGACCACGCCAATCCATGCGAACCCCGTTCGGTGCCAGAGTCCCAAAAATCAGATCAAACTGAGTTGATTTAGTGACCAGTACGGCGGGCCTCGGCGATGACGCGCTGGAGCTCATCGACCTTGGCCTTGGCACGGCCGAAGGTACCGAGCTACGATGCGAGTTAGTACTTGTATCGTGGGGTGGTTGCGGTGTCTGGGTTCGACGTACTCTCTTCTTGGCGAGCTTACGGGCACGCTTGTCCTTGGAGTTGCGGAGCAACTCAATGACTCGGCGCTCGTAGGGGGCAAGGCTGTAAAAAAATGGTGGTTAGCAGAGAGTTCGAGCACGTATTTGAAAGCTCCTCCAATGGATAGGGCCGATGCCAACGACAGGACCTCGAACACGCGGCGCAGAACCCCATGCCAGGCATCTCCCATCCATAGCCTCCAAATCCAACCTCTGATCCCAAATGATGTTTGACTTACCCAGCAACCTCCTTGACGACCTCACGGACGAAAGCGGTGCGCTTGCTCAGGTGACCCTTGGTTCGGGAAACACGGGGCTTGACGACACGGGGAGTGGTTTTCTGTAATATCGGCGACAAATGTCAGCGTCCATCGTCTGCTAGTTGGGTGGTTGTCGAGCCCTCATCCGTCGCGAAGGCGAAGACAAAGCAGAGATCCTCCACGAGGTGAGACTGCGACAGAAAGACGTACGTGACCCTTGTTGAGGCCGACGGCCAGGCCAGATCGAGCGGTTTCAGCGGCCATTGTTGCTGGATGGGTTAGTTGGATCGTGAGGTGACGAGAATATTTCCAACAGGATCAGAAAAAACGAGGGGATCTTTAGTTGCCTTAGTTTGGCGTACAAAATTTGCCAAATCTGTGGGTCACGTGCCGAAGGGTAGCGAGTTTGCATTTGTGCGAACCCCACATCAAGTGGCATTTGACGGCGTGAGAGACGGCTCATCAGAGCTCAGAAGAGGACTAGACTATCTAACACGGATATATCTATACAAATAAAGAAATGCACTTGGCATCACGAACCGTCAATTCTGAGTTTCAAAAGAAACGACGATGCTGATCATGCTCAAATCAAACGGATACGGCATCATATCTTGAAGGCCAGGATTAACATTATGAGAAGCCTTTTCCATACTCAATCTCATATAGTCCAGAATCAGCATGAATATCTATCTACCCGGCCTTATCCAGCAACATGCCATCTTCATCCAGGTGCTGTATGATCTTGGATGCCTCCGAATCCACACAGTAGGTCAAATAAGGTGCGACGATCCTTTGTGCATTGCGATCGACAACCGAGTCTTCATGGGAGCATCCTCCAATCTTCCTTGTGTTAAAGCGAAACATGGAAAATGTAACCAGGCCGCCAGCAGAACTCGGAAAGTCATCGCTTCTCAGTCCATAGAGAGATCACGTTTCTAGTCTTGTGTCACTCAACAGAAACAACAGCCTTGTCGAGCCATCTGTACTGTAACTAAGAATAACTTTGACGCTTAGACGCTTGGTTACAGAGGCTCTACATATCGTAAACAATGAGTTGGCCATGGATATTCCATAATAAACGTCCGAGGCTCCGACGCAGCAAAACATGAAACATGATCGGCATCCAATCAATTGCACTGCCTGGTTGTTGGATCCTCGCCTCCGATCCCTTCAACTCCATGTCTCCTTGCGGATGCAGAAGGATCTGCGGGTGGAATTGGGTTGCATTGTACGACGGCGCTGGAATCTAGAGCAGGCCCGATTTAATGAGTTACTAGGCCGCGTGTTCGGTAAGGCAAGGAGAAACCACTCGGGGCGGTTGATGCTCTGACGTCGTGTTCTCCATATGACCTTTGATGGACTTATAAACTACCTACCTCGCTACCTACCTAGTCTTGTCTCGACTTGAAAATCTGGTGTTTGACAACATCAAACTTCACAAATTAACATACCTCTTATAATTACTATAGGTATACAACCTCTCACTTCGTACCAGACACACATACTACATTCCTCTAGTACCCTCACAATGCAATTCGGACTTTTGTTTCTTTCTGCTTTGCCCGCGACTTGGGCCGCACATCTCTACGCGGTTCCCCAGAGTCTTTCTCTTCTCGAGACCAGTGCTGAAGACAATGGCTGCACACTACCCGATACCTACCGCATCCAGAACTTCAAGGCAGAGTCTAAAGACAGCGGCAAAACACTCAGTGGCTTCGACTTTGTATTCTTCGACCAGGACACCAAGTTGACGACTCCTTGCCACAAGAACGCTTCTTCAAAGGCCATCACAGGCTTGGGAGGCAGAGATCGGTTTGCGTGTGACAACGACGCAGTGGAGTTCATCTGGACTGATGATACCAAGAAGCTATGGATGATGGAGAAGGTCTGTCAACAACAGGATGGGTAAGTCTTGAATTCTCGATCTTGAAGAGAAAAAGTGCATTGACAATGGCCCAATAGATCTATACCATATGAGGCCAGTGGCAGCATCATTCTCAACGTCAAGTGTGCCAGGACTGGCGGCTGCTCCAGCAACTCGACAGACCAGAAGTCATCCTTCACTAGCCTTCAGCCCGTGAGGGAGGCTCCTCCTTCCTAATAAATCGGTCTATGACGAGTAAGATCTCGTGATCTTGAGTCGTGCAGAATCCAGCTTGCCCGATACCTGTCAGGCGGGCTGCTTTGTCACTTGTCCAATAACAAAACAAAACACAACTGGACGTATGAGGATGGCAGTGAAGCGAGGAAAAGGCAGAGACAATGTACTATTAGTACCAGCACTGAATAGAGGTTCGGCTCGAAATATCGATATGAGCAATTATGTAATTTGTTCATGATTTCTTCAAGATCTTTTATTCAGGAACAAAAGCCGACTTCCGCCTCCAACGTGGAAGAATGTAAAGTGGGTCTATAATCCGGGGTAGTGAAGTCTCATTGACCACTCAGAGTGTCTCATTCGGCTCTAAATAGTGGCAACGAATGGCGCTCCTTTTTCATTGGTCATTTGTCGGCCTAAACAGGTACCGCCAATTCTTGTACATGTGCCGTATGACCTCAACAGTTTGGAGTGTCATTCACGAGACCTGTCAACCCTGATCTTGACCTCTTCCCTTGATCTGCCTGCTATTTCAGCTCTCGTCATTATGTGCGTTGAGGCTAAAATCAAACACTCCTCAATAATCCCTCGATGATGCATTGCGTCTTCTTCCTCATCCCGTCCATTCTCAATTCAGAGACCTTCTGAGTCGTTACTATAAGTTGATTCTACAACACACAGCGAGGATTGGGGACGTTTCCGATATTGGAAGGGGGGAGAAAAAGATCAACGCATTTATGGACGCGTTTGCAGCTTTTCAGACTTTGCAACTATCAGCATAGAGCACCACGTTACACCATGCGACTCAAATTTGTCAACACGATGAGGACACTGACTCTTCAGCTGGTTCTCGTCACTTCATGCCTCGCTCTTAGCAACCCATTATCAATACTCAGGCGCAGCAGTAATAGTCCTGATACCAAGCCCTACGGCATATCTGTGCCCTTGTTTGCAACACTCGAACGTCTATCGCGACTCGTCGACATTGCCTATTGTATTGGCACCACGGGAGTCAGGAAACCCTTCGACTGTGTCTCGCGCTGCAGCGAGTTTCCCAGTCTCGATCTCATCAATACGTGGAATACTGGCCCTTTGCTCAGTGACAGTTGCGGCTATATCGCTGTTGATCACGGTGTGAGACAGCGCGGAGGCAATGACGCTTACATGGCCGGTGAGCCTGCTATTGTGGTGGCCTTCCGCGGCACTTACAGCATCGCCAATACGATTGTCGATCTGAGTACTGTACCGCAAGAGTATGTGCCGTACCCGTCTCCTGACCACGGTGGAGAAAGCCCTCCTGACGAACCAAAGCACCAATGTACAAATTGTACGGTGCACATGGGGTTCCTCCAGTCCTGGAAGAATGCTCGACGCCTTGTGCTTCCGCAATTGAAACAGCTGAGGCTCCAATATCCTTCTTATCCTGTTCAGCTTGTAGGCCATAGCCTAGGAGGTTCCGTCGCTTGCCTAGCTGCACTGGAGCTCAAGGTATCTCTGGGGTGGCAAGACGTCATAGTCACAACTTTTGGTGAACCCCGAGTTGGGAATGAAGGGCTCGCTCGCTTCGTCGATGAAGTCTTCCACCTAGATGGCCAAGAAGATCTCGAGGGACGACAATACAGGCGGGTCACTCACAAGGAAGACCCCGTGCCTCTGCTTCCTCTGGGTGAATGGGGCTACAAGTCACACGCAGGTGAGATATACATCGCCAAACAGGAGCTCAGCCCCTCCGAAGTCGATATTTACATGTGTATCGGCGATAATGATCCGAAATGCATATCCGGGGCAGACGACTCGTTATGGATGACGATACGCCGCTTGTTTCACGTCAAAGGCCTTCTAACGGCCTCGGACAAACTGGCCGAGTTGAACGGATTCCCTTCCAGATTCAAGCTATGGCAGCTGCTGTTTGCTCATCGGGACTACTTCTGGAGACTCGGCCTCTGTGTACCAGGCGGCGACCCTGCAGATTGGGGCAGAGGACGGTACCAAGCACCGGAAATGGAGGAGCTATGATTTCTTTTAAACTTATTGTGTTTGGGTTAGCAGGCGTTGACGATATGGAAAAGCCTGCTTCAAGATATCTCATGCATATCAACTTAATGGATTAATACATATGAAGGGCTAGAGTATCAACAAGTTTGAAATCAAATTTCTCATGTAATTCATCAGGTATTCGACAAATCCAATGTAGTCTCAAGCGTCTAAACCCCAATGACTCATATTCTAGAACCACCATATGGACGAAAGAGAACAGATTTTCTACTCCATGCCAACCAGTATATCTAACGTGTTGTTCAAAGTCCTACTTGTACGATTTTCTGGTGACCTGGTCCAGCCAGTCCCGCTCACCACGGGCTAGACGGAGCGGAAAGCTCCACCAAAACAAGCCGAACCAGGATTATTCAAAGTCATGCCAAGTGATAAAGAAGGGTCCCAGGCTAAAAGAAGTCCCTGAAAGTAAGATTTCACCTTGGGGAAGACTACTGGAACTCAGACTTATTCAGCCTGGTCGACTTGTTTCAATGCAGACAGGTCATCATCCCGAATACCCATCATAATAAGAATGAGATAAGAGAGAGCATACACATTCCCGCTGCTGAGCTGTCTGTACTGTATGAGGCAAAACCGGTTTCCACGGCTCTGGTGGAACGTGGGCTTCGGATGATTGCAGATGGGTCCGTGGGATCAGAGGAGAAATGGTTCAGTTTAACAGGGGTTTGATGAGCGAAAGAGCAGCTATTTAGCTTCAGAATGCAAAAAGAAGGGTCTCATCGAAGTCGGCTAGGTCCGTTAACGATCAAGACTATGTACAGCTTACAAATGAGGTGAACTTGACAGCTACAGCAGGGCATGCCCATAAAGTGGAATTCCTTGAAACGAACAGGATATCACCAAACTCTTAGCAGCTAAACAGTTTCCGTATCCCAGGTTCGCGGATTCCTGGTCAAGGATGGGAAAACCGAGGCGTGCAATATGACATGGAGGGGTTGCAGGCAAGCGGAATGAGAATGTCAAGCGTCAAGTCACAAGGCAGGGATTTGACCCGTTCAAAGCGAGATGGGCAGATGCAGCCCAGCCAGGCCAGCAAAGAGTACTACTTTACTGGATCTTAGTCCAGAGGAATTCCATAGATGGGGTTCTATTTCTTGATGGAGACAAGTGCGAGAGCTGTGGACGGACTGTCTAGATTGTCTAATTGTGCAAGAAGTCTTGATCCAGGTTTCAGATAGTGGTTTTGGTCTTGGCTTGATACATATATCGCAACAGGCGTCTCAGAGTCAGGATCAGGGTCACAGAGTCCAGACTGTACCGAAGTGGTTGGATTTGATAAGCTCTTAAACGCTGGAGTGGGCGGTTAATACGACGGACGATCCCAGGAAATGAGTTCATCTTGTGCAAAGCTCTCACGACCTGTAATCCAGCAAGATAGGATTGTCATGTGCTGGTGAGCTCTGTAAGTCTTAACGGTGGAGGCGTATGAATGGTACACTCTCATGTGCCTTTTGGTGGTAGTGGCAGTCATAGGCAGACAACAACAGATCATCACTGGTCAGGCCTCTCGGATCTCAGACTTTCATCATCAGCCATGATTCGTGTGTGGGATGCGTGCTGCCGTCCGTGGCGGGCCTGGAGATAACCAGGACAAGGGCCCAATAGAAGTCGCCTCATCAGCCCCAATGAGGCTGATTCTATTATGATGCAGAGACAACAACAACAACAACAACAACAAGCATTGTGTGATTTCTCTTAAAAGCAGCTTGCCGTAAAGGCGGCATTAGCACGTGCATATCAGCACTATCCCCTGTGAATCAAAAGTAGGGAAAGGAAAGGAAAGGGGTCTGTCTGCACAGGCGTGAATGAACTGGAGGAGAGATTGGCGTCAACTGCCAGGGCTAGTGAGCACCAAGCATCAAACAACGGCCAGAAAACTGTTTCGTTTGGTGGAAGAGGGGTGAAATCAATGGAAGGGGGGGACTCATCTCTGTCGTCACTTTTTTTTTTTACGCTCACGTGGCTCCCTGTGCATTGTTTATGTACATCCGGCATGGATGGCATGGTATGGCATGGCAGCCTGGGGCCCAGCCAGGACAAAGCCCAGCCCAGGTTCCTTGAGTTTCTACTAACTAACGTTAACTTATGTACAGGTAGCACACCAAGCTCCGCAGTCTCAGGGACTGCGGGCACTGGGCTCAGATTGGATTGCTCCAAGATACCCGGACCTTACCTTCAGTATTGGATGCACTGCAATTTAGATGAGGCGGGCAGCTATGGCGCACCGGGTTCCGTCTGGACTTTTCAACGGGGACATGTTCCGCTAAACGGGGAGATCATATCGGCTCCCCTATTTTCTCCTCTCTCTCTAGTTAATGGCACTGTCGGTTGTCTTGAAAAGATCCATTCATTATTAGAGCGGTGACTGGGTTTGTGGTGCACTAATGTAGATATGCGGGTTAAACAGTTACCAAGAAGTGGGAGTCAAAGGCCCAGAGGCCAACAGCCCGGGCCCAAGGCGACCCTGGGATTGGGCGGGCCAGGCTGTTCCTTGGGCGATACACCCCTAGAAGCCATCCATTTGGGGGGAGGGGAGCTGCCCGCTGCCTGTCCTCGGCTGGCTCCCATTAGTACAGGGCGCTGCCAAAATCCAATTCTAATGCCCGCGCAATATACGTACCTCTACCTCGCTCATTCACCCAACGCCTGACCCGCCTAACTACACCTCAGTCCAATCCAATCCAGTCACTGGTCGCTCTACCTTACCTTACTTTGCCTTACCTCTACTCATCCCTCTCCCTACGCGCCCCCCAACTCTCAACCTCAAAAATTCAATCTCTCACTCAACCTCTCTTCTCCCTGTCACGACTACTTCCACTTCCTTTTTTCTTATCAAACAATTCCCAATATCTTCCAAAATGGCCACCGAGGTATGTATTCTCCCTCCCGGTTTCTCTATTCTTCTCCAGAGATGCTCTACCCTTTTTCCCTCTCGGCCTCCTGTCCCGCCGAAGGCCGCACAACCCCTCAATCCTCAATCGAAGCCCAACATTGACAACCGGTGACAACACCATGAGATTCCTCCTCCAAGTCCACGATTCGTCCGTGGCCTTAAACTCTCGGTTATGTAGCCTGCGATCATCTAGAGGCTTTCTCAACTTGTCATCAGGCGGTGTTTCTCGATTCTCTTGCCTCCCCTCCCCCTCCCTGCTCATCTCATCCATCATCCCCATCTCTCTAATCAAAATGCTTGATGCTGACTCTCATGGTGTGATAGCGTGAAAGGTTTGTCTACAACATCCCGTCCCGGATCTCTTCCGACGCTATCGGCGCCCTGCCAATACTTTGGCTCGTCCAGCTCGTCTAGGAATCCAGATCCCCTTGGAAGGACATCGTATCGCTGACATCGTACGTGTTACTCACTATAGCAAGACCTTCCTGGCCCGCCTCTGCGAGCAGGCCGAGCGCTACGATGAGATGGTCACCTACATGAAGGAGGTGGCTAAGCTAGGCGGAGAGCTCACCGTTGACGAGCGTAACCTCCTCAGCGTCGCCTACAAGAACGTTGTCGGCACCCGACGTGCCTCGTGGCGCATCATCTCCTCGATCGAGCAGAAGGAGGAATCTAAGGGCTCCGACAAGCACGTCTCCACCATCAAGGACTACCGCAACAAGATCGAGACCGAGCTCGAGAAGGTTTGCCAGGATGTTCTCGATGTCCTCGACGACTTCCTCATCCCCAACGCCGCCACCGGCGAGTCCAAGGTCTTCTACCACAAGATGTGCGTTTTTATCTTCCCCGCCTCTAGCCTGAGGCCCCTCGTCTTTCCGCCCTTTTTGTGCTCGCTCACGCAGCACTACACCCATCTCGCTACATGCGTGCTTTTTCCACTGCCGAAAAAAAAAAATCAAGCAAACCATTTCTTAATTTAGTTATCGAGAAGCTGACCGTGTTTCTTTCTGATGAATAGGAAGGGTGACTACCACCGTTACCTCGCCGAATTTGCCTCTGGTGAGAAGCGCAAGGGTGCTGCTACCGCTGCCCACGATGCTTACAAGGTAAGGCTAAATTAAAACCCAACTACCCCCCACCTCCGTCACATGCCGCAAGATCCGGGCCGCTGGTGCCCCTCGCTGACAAGTTTTGCCCAACCACAGAGCGCTACCGATGTTGCCCAGACTGAGCTCACTCCCACTCACCCCATCCGTCTGGGTCTCGCTCTCAACTTCTCCGTCTTTTACTACGAGATCTTGAACTCCCCCGACCGTGCTTGCCACCTCGCGAAGCAGGCCTTCGACGATGCTATTGCCGAGCTCGACTCCCTCTCTGAGGAGTCCTACCGCGACAGCACCCTGATCATGCAGCTCCTCCGAGACAACCTCACCCTCTGGACTTCTAGCGACAGCGCTGAGGGCGAGGCCGCTGGTGCTGCCGATGCTGTCAAGAAGGAGGAGGGCGAGGCTGCCAAGCCCGCTGAGCCTGCCGCCGCCCCTGCTGAGGAGCCTGCGCCTGCTGCTGCCTCCTAAATCTGTCAATAATCCCCCTCGATACCACATGCGTCTCGGCATATAGGAACCGAGAGTATTCTTGCCCCGGTTACACTTGTCTGCCCCCGGACACACGGATAGCTGGGCCTGTCTTGGGCGGGCTGGATGATAGTACGAGGCTTCTTCTTTTTGCGCGGTGCGTTGCTTTTTTTCCCATGGCGATGGAGAGGGAGGAATCACAAAGGGTCTGGTTTTCTGGCAAGGGAGAGTGTATGGCGTGGATTCTTTCATCTTGTTTTGTCCGTCGGACTAGTAAGAAGGGAAGAAGGGAGCAGGAAAATTCGACCCGCCAACACTTGGTGATGACGGCTATTTGTCTTTTTTCCTCTCTTTTCTACCTGGCAGATAAATCGCAAAGTTTCCTCCCCTTTTCACACATCTTTTTTTCTTTGGCCTACTTTCCGTACCTAACATCTGTGTATCTCTCAATCCCCGTCTTGTTGGTCATTAAGAACGTGGACAGGGCTTAGCCC